TTTTTGGCATAAAGAGTACCACATTGTTAAAACGACTTTTGATTTGTTATTTTATTCAACCATCAGATCCGTATCGTAATTACATAACCATAGCAACAAGAATCGTCGCATTACGAGGTCGTATGAAAGAATTATGCCCATTTCCGTGTCGGGAAAGATTGCTGTTTTGTTTGGCGTTTAAGGGAACAAAGGCAAATTACAGGTGTGAAATGCGATTTATAAGTCTCAGGTATGAAATGCGATTTATAAGTCTCAGGTGTCAAATGCGACTTTCTAAAAAATAGGGGTTCACCATTTTTATCATATTTTGAGTTGTAGACTTCGGATTTGGGTAATTTTTGAGGGGTTCTTCACGTGGTTGTTTGGGGTAAGTGATCTTTACCCGAATTTGATTTTATTTCATGATTTTATATTTGTTTTTATCATTAAATTAGTGAATTGAATGGAAGAAAATAGAAAATTTATAAAATCTTTCAAAAATATAAAATGAGGATTTGAAGGGCGATTCGATATCGGAATTTAATAATTTTGGTATGGTTGGACTCGTATCAAAATGGATATTCGGATTTTATGAATTTTATTAGGTTTTGAGGTGCGAACCCGGGGTTGACTTTTTAGGTTGACTTTTTAGCTTTAATTAAAGACCGAAGCTATATTATCCTGAATTATTTTCTATAAGTTTTATTTATGATTTGAAGTTATTTTGGCTAGATTTGAGCCGTCCGGAGGTTGTTTCACTCGAGAAGATCATTTTAGAATATCTGTCTAGCTTCTTTGAGGTAAGTATCTTGCTTAACTTTGTGGGGAGGAGGAACCACCCCTTAGTATTTAAGTCATTTGTGCTAATTGTGTCATGTGAAGGCCGTGTACACAAGGTGACGAGTACGTACTCGAGCTTAGTTGTGGAAATTTGACCATTTAGGCCTCTTAGGTTCTTATGTTCATTAGATGTGAAGTTGTTTTAGCATGTTATTTCCATTTACTAAATTCACTCTTACGTGTCTTATTTGAAATTGATTGATTCATGTTCTACCCTTGTTGCCAATTAAACTCTTATGTGCCTTAATTGAAGTTGTTGCCTCTTTATTGCCTTGGTGTATTTCCAGTAGTTGCTTAACCTTAATTGAAGTTATTATTATTTCTTCCATAATTGCTTAACCTTAATTGAAGTTATTATTATTTCTTCCATAATTGCTTAGCCTTAATTGAAGTTTTGTTATCCCTTTCATTGTTGACACATTCTTATTTGGGGTCATTGATTCATGATATCTCTCTTATCGTCGAATTGCACTCTTGTGGAATCATTGTTACACATTATCTCTCCCTTTGTTGAGCTATTCTTGTTGAGACCATTATTCTCTGTTGTGTCTTTCTTTGTGAGCTCGTTCTTCCGTTTCTTTGTGTTCTGAAGTTTTTGTGTTGATTTACTTGTCGTACTCTTGTGTTATCATTGTTGTTATCGTTGTACTCGGTGTTGTTGAGTCGAGGGCTATGTGTGGCTGTGGTATTGAAATTGTTTTGAGGAAATATTGTGGCATATGGGTACATGTTGTGAAAGTCATTTTATTGTGTTGTTATGTTTTGGCACGGGTGGAATTGTTGAGAGCATTGTCGGGATATTCGCACGTGATTTTTTCGTGTTGTTGTTATTATTGATATTTGCACATGCGGCATGACAAGACGGGCTATATATGTGGGTTTGCACATGTGACGAGATAAGGTGGGAATATTATTGTGTGCGTGCGGCGAGACAAGGCGGGCATTTACCTTATTATTGCGCACGTGACAAAACAAGGTGGGCTATGTCGGGAAATGATTTGTGATGACTTGTGATCGACTGGGGGCATTGTTATTGTTGATATTTGTGTAGTGGTGTGCCTGCCTTGTGTGAGTTATACCTTGTACATTTTGTTGTGATCGTTTCTTATGTGCCTTTCATTATCTCTACTCTTACTTGTTGACTTGAATTGGGATAGAACACTTCCACAAGCATACACATAATTAATCACCCATATCGGTTTAAGAAGATGAATCCTGATATTATTGACCATTTACATGTACTCCCGTTTACTTGCCTTCTGTGTGAGAGATGTTCTATTGGCGCGTGAATTGTCCGTATGGTCATGAATCATTAATATTGTTGGCACGTGAGTTATCCATGCGGATATTTGATATTGTCACTCTCTTGACACGTGAGTCGTTCGTGCGGTTATGAATTATAATGTGGGAATGAGATTTCAAGTGATTAGGGTTCACGAATTGAGACCCGTGAAATGTGAGTATGAGGTGAAGTACCTCGGGGAAATCTTTGAACAAATCTTATGTGGAAGTCGTTGCTCCATTGAATTATTACTTGTTCCTTCTACTTGGTTTCACCGGACTTTAACTGTATTCAGCTTACTCCATGACGTTATTACATGTTTGTTTCCCTACTGATATTGTTCCCTGATAGTTTCACATTCATACTTGTACAAGTTATTTGATCTAGTAGGTGTCTTGACTGTCCCTCGTCACTACTTTACCATGATTAGTCTTGATACTTACTGGGTACCGTTGTGGTGTACTCATACTACGCTTTCTGCATATTTTTGTGCAGATTCAGGTACCTCAGAGTTTGTTGATCATTAGCTAGCTGATCGGGCATTGCTGTGGAGATTCAAGGTACACCTGATGTCGCGTTCGCACGCCTCGGAGTCACCTTCTGAAATTTTACCTTGTACTGTTTAATTCTATTCTGGAACAGTTGTATTTAGAGATTTTTTAGTAAACTTTATAGAGCTTATGACTTGTACTACCGGTTTTGGGATCGTAAGCTTTGTATAGAAAATTTATGTTCATGTTTAATAGTTTTTGATTGAGTTTGTCATTAATTCAATAAGTGTTAAGCTCACATTGCCATCACGACATCCTACGGAGGAAAATTGGGGTCGTGACAAATAAAATCTCTACTAAATTAAAGGGACTTATATAGTTATCGAATAACGTTTTTGTTATGTATTTTTCTTTATTATATTATCCAATATTTAATAAAATTGCACTGTTAATAGAAATATTTATTAGCATATTACTTTATTTAATATTTTTGGCTACTACTTTCTTTTTGTAATATAATAAAAGATATATATTTTATTACTCTTGAAATATATTATTTTTTAAAATTTTATTCTAATGTTCTCAATAATATTGTCTGAATTTTAATGAATAAAATCTCTATTAAATTAAAAAAATATTTATTAGCATATTACTTTATTTAATATTTTTGGCTACTACTTTCTTTTTGTAATATAATAAATGATATATATTTCATTACTATTGAAATATTTTTTTTATTTTAAATTTTATTCTAATGTTCTCAATAATATTGTCTGAATTTTAATGAATAAAATCTCTATTAAATTAAAGAGACTTATATAGTCATTGAATAACTTTTTTGTTCTATATTTTTCTTTATTATACTTATTTAATATTTAATATTTTTACATTGTTAATAGAAATTTTTATTAGCATATTACTTTGTTTAATATTTTTGTCTACTACTTTCTTTTTGTAATATAATAGAAGATATATATTTTATTACTCTAGAAATATTTTTTTTATTTTAAATTTTATCCTATTGTTCTCAATAATATTATCCGAATTTTAGTGAATAAAATCTCTATTAAATTAAAGAGAGTTGTATAGTCATTGAATAACTTTTTTGTTATGTAGTTTCTTTATTCTTTATTATATTATCCAATATTTAGTATTATTGCATTGTTAATAGAAACTTTTATTAGCATATTATTTTGTTTAATATTTTTGTCTACTACTTTCTTTTTATAGTATAATAGAAGATATATATTTTATTACTCTTGAAATATTTTTTTATTTTAAATTTTATCCTCTTGTGCTCAATAATATTATTTGAATTTTAATGAATAAAATTTCTATTAAATTAAAGAGACTTATATAGGCATCGAATAACTTTTTTGTTATGTATTTTTCTTTATTATATTATCCAATATTTAGTATTATTGCATTGTTAATAGAAACTTTTATTAGCATATTATTTTATTTAATTTTTTGTATGCTACTTTATTTTTATAATATAATAGAAGATATATATTTTTATATTTTATATTTTATTCTATTATTCTCAATAATATTTTCTGAATAAATAAACTTTTATTTTTAAAATAAAAAACAAAGAAATTATGAATTGGCAATTTATTTTTTTAGTTTTCATTTTAAAATAATTTAAAAACTCCAATAACTACTCTCCAATTTAAATGGACGTTTTTTCTAATTTCGTTTATTATTATAAAATATTTTATTTTATTATTTTATAGATATTTAAATTCAAAAATAATAACGAATAACTAATTATTAACTACTTATGTCATGTGGCTTCTTTCTAAGCTGTCACTTGGCTTAAGGAGAGGGTTTTTCCTCTGCTTTTAGATATAGATGGATATTTTCTGAATAAAAAAACTTTTTATTTTTAAAAAGAAAAACAAAAATTATTAAAAAACAAAGAAATTATGAATTGGCAATTTATTTTTTTAATTTTTAATTTTAAAATAATTTAAAAACTTCAATAACTACTCTCCAATTTGAATGGACAGTTTTTTAAAATTTTGTTTATTATTATAAAATATTTTATTTTATTATTTTATAGATATTTAAATTCAAAAATAATAACCAATAACTAATTATTAACTACTTATGTCATGTGGCTTCTTTCTACGCTGCACTTGACTTAATGAGATGATTTTTTCCTTTGTTTTTATATATAGATAGATATAGATATAGATTATAAATTTTAAGAAAAGTGAATCTCAATTTTTGAAAAGTTACTCCTATCTGGTTTACCATGGGGTAATTTATCTCAAAAGAAACGGAATTGGAGAGGATTAGAGCCAAACAAATTACAATAAGCATTGTAATAATACCGCTATTAAATGGGAAAATTAGCCGTTTCTTTCACACAGATTGCATTCCCTCTCAAACGGTCACCTTTTTCAAGATTATATTCAAAACCCTCTTCTCATTTCCACCCAAAACACATAGGAGTATACACACACATACTTTGCTCTGTGTCTTCTCATTTTCTTCATTCTTGATCTCATGGCAGACAAGCGGGAAGCTCAACCCATTTTAGAGAGTGTAGAAGAGAAAAAAATTCCAGTGTTTACAGTGCTAAAGAACGGTGCCATTCTCAAGAACATTTTCCTCCTTGACAACCCCCCTTCATCTTCTTCTTCAAATCAAGAAACATCAGAATTTGAAGAGATTTTGGTGGTTGGTAGACACCCAGATTGTAACATTACGTTGGAACATCCAAGCATCAGCAGATTTCACCTCCGTATCCACTCTAAACCCTCCCTTCACTCCCTCTCTGTTACTGATCTCTCTTCAGGTACTCTGCCCTTCTTCTTCTGTAAAGTTTGCATTATTTTGAAACTTAATTTATGGGTTTTCAGTTCTCTATCCCTATCTTGAAATGGGTATTTTGTGTTTGCTTTCGGTTTTTGAAGAATGTCTGTATTCAATCATCATATATGGTTCTTGAAACATCATTTATAGTTTGCTATTTAAAAGTAATCTTCATTATTTGTGATGGTAATTTGAGTTATTTTCTTGAATTTTATCCTACTCTTGTTTGCAGCAGATTCATTCTAATCCTCATATGTGGTTCTTGAATTCTTGAGGGTTTCTATAGTTTCTTCTTTTTGCGTTTGATTGTCTTTATCAATGTGTCATCTTTCAATTTTAGAATTATTGTTGCATTTTTCTTGATGATGACAAGATTTGTGAATTATGCGAAGAATTTACGAAATCTCTATCCATATCTTGATTGTTACAGTATTTTAGTTGTTGAATGGGGTTTTATTACAGACTCTTTGTACAGTTTATTGAGGAGGCTAAATGTTTCCGCGTACGATACATCTGTTTTTGTTTCCTGTAGATACTCTGAAATATTCATTTTATGGTTCTTGAAATTGTTAAAATTCAGCAAGTGTCTTCGAGCAAGTGCATGTCTTTGGGGGTTTAAAATCTTGAATTTTTTAGGGGGTGATGGAGTTCTGTAAGAGCATGTGAACTTTAAACTCTTGAAATCTTGTTGGCTATTATCAATGATACAATGTGTTGTCTTTCAAGCTTCAACCATTTTTCCCAATTGATTTAAGATTTAAGACATAACTACTGATGTCAAAGCCTATTTTTGTGTGAAGGTTTTATCTCTCTCTATACTTTGCTTTCAAATGCATTCTTGTTTAGACATTTCATCTTGCTTCTTTCGGTTAATCAGTAAGGTCATTTCATCTTGTCCTTTGTAGTTCATGGGACATGGATTTCTGGTAAGAAAATCGAATCAGGAGCTCGAGTGGAGTTGAAAGAAGGTGATAGGATGCAGCTTGGAGGTTCAAGCAGGGTTTACAGGCTTCACTGGGTTCCAATCAGCCGCGCATATGATATGGAGAATCCATTTGTACCAGAAAACACACAGGAGGAACAACATCAGGTGAGCTGAAGCAGTAGTAATATATAGGTTCAGAATTATGGTGCAGTAACTCCATTTCTTTTTTCTTTTTTGTTCGCTCTAATTTTTATTCTTTGCCTTGTTGTGCATGCATTTATTGATTCTCTAGGAGGAGAGTGGCTTTTCTCCCCAGAATGACCAAATCCAGAAAGAGGATGATGATATGGTGCAGGGTTTAGACTCATCATTTTCTGGTATGAGTTCGTTACCGCGTGTGAGTAGTTTGACCCCACCAGCTCCTCCACTGCTTGAGAAAATGAGTTCTCCATTTCCTGATAAATACGAGGCAGCAAACAGAAATAATCTACCTGGGAATATCCATGAAAAAGGTGAAATTAGTTTGCTGCAGCCTGCTTCTTACCAACCTGACAATGAAAATAGTGCACCAGAAGCGCTTCTTGACTCAGAACAGTCCAAAACAGAAAATGTAGTAGATGGTACCCCGGAAAGATCACCGCAAAGATGTTCAAGCATTTGGTCTAGAAGGGGAAAACTTTTCAGTGTTCAGATTCAAACTGGTAGAGATAGGGCAATGAATGAAAAAGTTGACATGGAAACTGAAGTTGAATCGCTTAATCGTGAAAGAGCAGGAATTAAATCAGTTTCTAAATATAGGGCAATGAATGAAAAAGTTGACATGGAAACTGAAGTTGAATCGCTTAATCGTGAAAGAGCAGGAATTAAATCAGTTTCTAAAGATCTTTTTGCTAGTGAAAACAAGGATAAAGAGGAAGAGGTCTTTACTCCTGACAAAGAGAACAGTACTCCTAGTTCTCTCTTCCTTGGGTCCATGAAGAAATCGTGTCTTTCTGAGATGACAAATGGATCAGATAGTAAGTCTGTGCTTTCTAATATGGATGAGAACCAAGAGATTTTCACTCCGGACAAGGAGAATAGGACACCAAACACTCGTTTGCTGAGGACGATGAAGAAGATGGGAAGCCAGCATCAAGTTAAGCATCCAAAACCCTTTAAATTTTCATCTCTGAAAAAAGTGGTTGAGCCAATGGCCAGTCGAGCTGAAGGTCTTGTATCCCACAAAAAAGAGAAGCTAGGATCAACTCTAGGATCAACTACTAAATCAACATGGTCTGATATGGATGACAATGATGAAGAAATGTTCACTCCAGATAAAGAAAATATGACACCTGGTACTCATTTTATGAGATCAATGAAGAAGATAGCAATGTTGGAAGATGTTCAGCATCTAGAAGCGTTTAAATTTCCTCTGAACAGTGTAGTTGATTCCATATTCCATCAAAATGGAACTCCAAACCTTGCTTCCAGAAATCTAGAGAGATCAGAGGTAAACACAGTGAAGAACAGAATGGATAGAGTGCCTTTTCAGTCACTTCTTGTGAACAGCCCTGCAAAGACCAGCTCAATATCTCCACACGAGGACGTTAAGTTGAGTGGCAGTCCAATCAAGTATCGAGAGACTAAGGAGGCATGCCCCTTCTCTGTAAGTTCAATATCAAACTTTTATGCTGAAAAAGCTTTTTTATTCTAAGATTAGCATAGACAGAGGCATGTTTCCAAGCTGCAGTACTTGTCATTAGCTTCTGAGAGGTCATAGATTTGGAGAAGTCTTCTTGAAATGATTTTGGCTAGGACGCATTTCTTCTGGTTGCATTTGTTTTAGTTTCTTTTCCACTATATTCTTTGAGACAAGTTGATTCACACAGCAAATTTGTTGGTTCAAAGGATTAGCTAATAATGTTATTCAAACTTTCTTCTTTGTTCAAACCTTACAAGTTAACAGTTAGTTTGACTCTCTGGTGTAAATGTAGAAACTTGAAGATCTCTAATTTGTCTCTTAAAATTTATCTGCAGAATAACAGTGTCGTGGAACAGAATAGGACGTGGACCATGGTAGTAGACACTGGTTCTTTGCTGAATAAAGAATCAAGGAAAAGTTTGCAGCTGCTGCAAGGTCTCAAGGGGACATACCTGATAATACCAAGAACCGGTAATGAATTACCCCTGAAAGTTTCATCATTTTCAAATATATCCATCATATTGGTCTAGAATGCCTGCTTTGGCTGAACATTACCTGCTCATTGTTAACAGTTATAAGAGAATTGGATTGCATGAAAAGGCGTGCTAGTTTGTTTAGAAGGACAACAGAGGTATCTGCAGCATTAGAATGGATAGAAGACTGCATGGTAAATGTAAAGTCATGGATTCATGTACAGAGTTGCGCGGAAGAAACAAGATCAGTGGCGCCAACTCCTCCTGCTACTTCTCCATTGTCTTTGTTCAGTGAGGAGAATGGCATGTTCCCTATTGGTGGTTCTCTTCCATTTTCTCCACAGAGTGGTCTAATGGAATCTGCCTCGCCCACAGCAGAAGATCATATCCTTGAATATGCCCTCTTCTTCAAAATAACCAACAAGAACGGACAACTCGTCCTCCTTAGCAATGATCTTACCATGAAAATCAAGGCCATGGCAGAAGTAAGACCATACCCAACCATCCTACCTTTTCAATATTCAATTTTCCAAAACTAAAAGCTGTACGTGATGAATTCTTTTACCTAATGTTAATTGATGCGCAGGGTTTGAACTGTGAGACAGCAGAAGAGTTTCGCGAGAGCTTAGTGAACCCATTCTCTGAGCGGTTTCTTTGGAAGGACAGTTCTCCTAGGGGAAGGACTTGGTCATGCGAGGATGACTTTGTTCTTAGGGAAACATACTACCGTGGCCCTCCAAAAAAGACTGGAGAAGCTGCAAAAGGGTTGAAGCTCATATTGCTCCATAATTCTCATTATAGGCACATATGTTCAGCCAGCTGAACCAATTGTGTTAGCTGTTTGCTGTTGTACAGCCCTTCTCTTCAGATTGAATCGTTCATGCTATGCTCTCAAGTGCCAATGTTTCACCATTTTTGGAACCTTTTGTTATTGCAATAAAATGGTTGTTTGCTTCTTTTTTTTTGTGAAAATCTGGGTAATTCATAAATCTTTAGTTCTTTCTTTTTTGGTTGTTAGCTTCTTTTTTGGTGCAAATCTGGGTAATTCATAAATATTCGGTTTCGTCCACTCTTTCTTTCTTTGTTTTATTAAACCCCTCTTCCCCCACCCCCCACCCCACCAAAAAAAACAAAAAAAGGAAGAAGTGATAAATTATAGTATACAGTTTGGTGATAAATTATTATCATCTGATTTGCTGCTAAAAGGAACGTAATTCCCTTGGCGAAATGATTAGGGACGGTTCTGATATCAATCGAGATTCTTGTTAGGCTGCATGAGCTTAATCTTCGGTAAAACTGCTCTAACCAGTTAACGAGTTATCCTTTTTGACTTGCTGCAACTGAACAAACTCATAGCAACAATGATACTAAAAATTTTAAGAAAAACAATTTTAGTTATTCTGAGAAACCAATGGCATGATGATAGAATAGATAGCTACACTGAATCAAATACAAATTGAATACTGGTTGTGTTATTCCAGTTCACTAGAACTCATATATTTTGCAGCCTTGTGAGGAGGGTATTCACATGATCCAGATAGCAGAAACGAGAATGAGCTATCTGACTCGTCAAATGGTGGTCGAGGGAACTCTTGAAATCCATTAAGATTGCTAGTATCAAAGTTCAAAGGCGAGAAATAACTGCCTGGATCATCTGCAGCGCTTTTTATATCCCTGGGATTTTGAAACTCATTGCCATGTGAAGCATTTACCTTAAAATCTTCTTGTCGTGCTTTCATGGTGACTTCACTTGTTTGGCCTCGGTCAGATGTCCCAGCAGATCCTTTAGTTTCATCCAGTGGAACTGCAGGAGTATGACCTTGAAAAAGGGCAATGTGTCCGAAAAGCTTATCTTTCCTAGAAAATGTTGTTCCGCAGGAACAAAGCCATTTATCTTTACCACAATGCTTTTCATGTGTTTTAAGATCAGCAATAACAGAAAATTTCTTTATATTACATCTACTGCAAGTATAGGCTTTCTCACAGTGGGTTCTCTTGTAATGGTTTTTCACACATAAGATCGTCTTCAGAGGCTGAAACTTCTTATGCTCCTTATTGCGCTTGCATCCAACATAAGGACAGGAATACCTTTTGATGAGTGTTGGCTCGGAGCTTGGTTCTTTATGAGGCTTTGCAAGAGCTGCTGGAGTCTTGTACTCATCACCATGACCTCTCATGTGCATCCGCAAATTGGCATCCCTCTTAAATCCCTTGCCACAAATTGTGCAAAAGTGAGTGTGTGGTGCAAGGATTTCCTCCTTCTCCAACTGCAGAATCTCATAGGAACCGGGAGGAAGGTTCTCTTCTTCCTCAGCTTCATCTTCATCTTTTGATTCATGTCCATCAACAGCATGGCTTTGTTCAATTCCACAATCTCTCAACTGGTCAACGTGGTTGGACTGATCTTCCACTTTAGTAACACCACCATCATTACATGGCAGTCCCCCGCCATTAGTACATGTTGCAGAAGGAACTGTGACGCCACCAAACTGCACAAGTTGGCTAGCAGCATGGCTCACGGAGGAAAGTGAGTGCTTCATAGTTGGAAGAAGACNTTTTGTTCAATCCCACAATCTCTCAACTGGTCAACGTGGTTTGACTGATCTTCCACTTTAGTAACACCGCCATCATTACATGGCAGTCCCCCGCCATTAGTACATGTTGCAGAAGGAACTGTGACGCCACCAAACTGCACAAGTTGGCTAGCAGCAGGGCTCACGGAGGAAAGTGTGCGCTTCATAGTTGGAAGAAGACTTCCTGCAGTTGATACCAATTGGACTATAATAGAAGTAAGGTCCGCTGTGATTAACTGTTGCTGCTGAACTATAAGGTCATTTCCCTGAAGCCCAGTCTGACCTCTCCGCCCAACAATCAAATGTACTAGTTCCTGGAGCTGATGAATCTTTTGCTCGAGAAACGAAAGGTTGTTTAGCAAAGTACTTGGATCCCAGTCCTTTGTTCTGGTTGAGTCATGATTTTCATTCATCTGATTCCCATGTTGATCCATCTGATATGTGTGTTTTGGTTGAGTAAATCCAGAAAACTGTTGCTCAATCCTGGTCTGTTGATCCAAATAAGAGGAACCTTCCCACTTCTGCGCGTGCAGATTGAAATTGGTAAATGAATGGTTATCTGAGGGCACAATTTTCAGTAATTCATTGCCAGCTGAAGACGACTTTGTCCAAGGATCTTCACTAAGACTGTCATCAGGATCCATATCCGAATCTGCTTCCTAAAGTAAAAAGACTGCACAAAGAAAAGTTGGAAAGCAAAGAAAATTAAGAGCACTTCATCATAATCAATCAAATCCATATGACACAAGCATGAAAACAGTATTTTATTCAGTAACAACTGAATTAATTGAATATACTTTAAATTAAAATCATCAGGAGAGTACTCAAGACCGCAATTTTAAAAGCATTAAAAACTAAGAAAAGAACATCAAAGAAACGTCGTTTTATGATATGATAGGCCGAGAATGATCATACACGAGTAGCATAGTAACGGGTAGGTAGGTAACATTAACTTCTAACAAGCTAATGTTAAAAGTTAACTATACTGCGCCATCCCTGTTCAGCACAGCTACATCAAGGCAAACAAACAGTCTAACTAATAGGATGGATGGTACAACTGCGACCAAATTCATTCTTTCTAATAAAGTTCAAACCATAAATCTGGTGTATCAATTTACATATTTCTAATCATAGTATGTTCTTTATCATCTTGACTTCTAATTCAATTGTCCTGTATCCAACTAATGAGCCTCCACAGAACTAAATATTCCACGCTAAATTTTTCTTTTTTCTTTTTTCTTTTTAAAAGTGAATATCCCACAGTAAACTTCCACAAAAACAATAAATAAAAAAAAAAAATCCAGTAATTTTCAAGTCTAATGATTGAGTTAGAACTTAGGTTCAATCCTAAGTCAACGANAAAAAACGGAAATTGAGATCTCATCATATCAATAATCATTTCTGAGAAAAACCCCCCACTACAAGATATTCACGTACACATCAAATTCGATCATTTTTAATTTTTTTTTGTATCACGAAATCACATAGTCAACTCATCAAAGACTAAACTTTTCAGCAACAAATCATTATAGGATCCACCAAACACAGAGAAAGTGAACTAAAACCCCTTGGAAATCATGAAAACTAACCAGATTGAAGGTCAGCCAATGCTAAATCTTTCTGTTCAGAGATGTAGGAAAGCGAAAGAGAAAAGTTGCTGAACCCCAGTTCATATATATAATAGGAGTAAGCAAGCGTATTTGATTCCTCCTACCGATTGCTACCCAAACAGAGCCTTAAGGCCTACTGATGGGACCCACTGCTCTCCAAGAATATTCTGACTTCACTTCTCTTAAAAATTTAGTCGCAACTAGAGTTTTACACGAAAAAAGAAACATAAAATCTTTTATTACTTAGTTGTGATTAAATAATAGAGTTTAAAATTTCTTATAATATCAATGTTATAACTCTGTATTGCTGTAATAAACAATTAAATTTTCTGAAAAAACAGAAACAGAAAGTTAGTAATACTTGTTTAACGAAATAGATTCTGAAAAATAAAAAAACAGTATAGGAATAAATCGAGCCCACTGAATACACAGTGTGTCCTTAAGGAAATTATTCCCCTCAAGTACCTGAAGTGCTGGAATATATCCTCCCAGAATAGAACGATTTAACTCACCAGTGTATTGGTACCAAAAACTCTGATGAACTGCGAACCACTCAATGGCCGTAAAACATACTGAAAAATATTGTGAAGAAGAAGAAGAAGAAGAAGAAGAAGAAGAAGCAGCAGCTCAGAAAATTTCGTAAGGAAGATTCTGGGATTCAAACTCTATTTATAGAGTTGCTGGCATTGTTTCTGAAAAGGTTTGCAACCTTTCAGAAACAGCCATGTCTGTTGAAAAGGGGGGTTTGAAATATTGCGGGAAAAATGTATTTAAAATAATCCGGAAAAGAAAACGGGCCTGACCGAACCGGATCGCAGGTCATGGGTTATTCCGAATTAAATTTTTCGTTAATTATTTAATTAATTAATTAAATAATTGAAAGGAATTTTATCCAAAAAGATTAATCAATCAATCTTTGACCGAAGCCGAAGCCGAGCGAGCGACGACGACGGCGCGAGGGTTGCCTTTTTCTTAACTCTTTAAGAGCTAGAAGAAAAGCAATTATATATATACCCATCAAAAGCCTTTTCT